GAGGGAGGGGATGCGCGCCGGCGGCGGAGGCGCTCGCGGGAAGCGGGGCTGCGCGCGGGCGGGGGCGCGGGCGCCGCGCCTCGGTCTGCGGGGCGTGTGGGCGGGGAACCGGCGAGGGCCTGGGACCTGGCCGGGCGGTGGGAAAAGGGAAGCGCGGGCGGGAGCGGGGCCGAGGGCCGAGGGCGGCGCGGCCCGGGTGGCGCGGGGGCGGGCGCGGCCCCGGGGACCCTTCCCCGCCGCCCGGAGAAGCCGCGTCTTCCCGACGGGGAGGAGCCGGGCCCCCTGGCTGTGCCGCCGGAGCGGGGTCGCCCACGCGCCCTCGCCTTCCCCGCCGCCCCCGGGGGGGCAGGAACCCTCCCCCCCGAGCCCCTCAGCCCCCAGCCTGGCTCTTTAAGTTACTACAGAAACGCGGAGGTCGGGAAGCTGCCTCCCAGCCCGGAGCTTGAACTTGAACGCGGCCGGCCGCTCGCGCAGGACCACACCGCCACCTCCCGGCGCGGCCCCAGAACCCAGCTAATCCGTTTCCAGCAGTTAGAAAGTCCAAGAAGTTTTTAGTGCGTTGTAGCAGGTATCAGGGATCAGATCAGCGGACACGCCCATTCCAGCAGTCGGGGCCTCCTCGGACCGTCGTGCGCCTCCGAGCATTTCTGTGCCGTCCCGCTGGGTCCGTCTGGTTTTCGGCGGCTTTCCTGGAAAAGCCAGCCTGTGGTTACCTCCTTTCTCCCCTGAGTGGCGGGGGATTAGAAGGCAGAGGGTGACCCACAGTCTACAGTGACTGGTCGCCTTTTTCCAGATTTCCCGGCACATTCCTTCACCCCGTGGCATCGGCTGTCTGCATATTGGGTGCAAGGCCCTGTTCCGGGCGAAGAATAAACAGGAGTTCTGACTGCCAGCAGCTCCGCAGCCAACAGGTTGGTCCTAACTAGTTGTGTGCAGTCTTGGAGGACAGCCCTGAAGAAGGGCAGGAGAACCAGCACTTCCTCCGAAAACTCAAAAGGACATCAGTCTTCACCACGTTGCGGATACAAAACGTGCTCCTGAAATGTGTAGTTATGAGCACCGGGAAACCCGGGTGGCAGTGTGCATGGCATTGTTCATCACAGCCTGGACTGCACGGCACTGAATAGCACGGAGGGCAGGATGGAGAAACAGTGGTCATCTTCACAGGGTGGAATCTAGCCATTCACAAAAATTCCAAAACGGGCAAAATTAAACTGCATTGTTTAGGGATGCATCATTAAGTAGTAAATAATTGACAGAAGAGCAAGAAGGTGGTTACTCTAAGTGTCAGAATGGTGAATACAGCTGGGGTGGGTGGGCTGTGACCCCAGCAGAGCCCTGGGGGATTTGGAGGTGCCAGGCCTGTTCCTTCCTGCAGTGCTGCCCTGCGTTCGGCGGCCATCCCTTAAACTGCACTTTTATGTTTTATATACTTTTTCCGTACCTTTGCTATAGTATTTCATGGGAATTTTTGAATAATCATGAATGTTACCACTTTCCTGTTGATGAACCATGCCACCGCATCAGTCTCCCCAGTTCGCAGCTGCCCACCCTCTCTCTCTGCCCCTGTCTCCCTGACACATCCACAAAACTCGTTTCTGCCCGGAATCCCTGAGGCCCAGCTGCCCTGCTGTCAGCCACTGTACGCCTCGGCAAAGGCCCAGAAGGCTCTGTTGTCACTGGCTCCCCTCAGCCCGCCTTCTGCTCCTTTGAGCGCTGTGCTGGGGAACTTTGTTGCAAGGGTTTAGTTCCAGAAGGCAAGATAATGTCTGTGAGGGCTTCATTGTGTCGCTTCTCTCTGGATGTGGCTGACACCGTGGCCCTCTGCTGGCGGAGGGGTGCCATTGCTGTCTGCCCCATCTCCATTCCCAGGGCCCAGGCAGTCACTGAGTTCGCCCTCTGGGGCACGGGGGTGGGGAACCGGTGGGGGGTTCCCTGTGTTCTTTTCCTAGATAAGCCCATCCTCTCCAGGTCTCCACCCTCCACACCTGTGTTCAGGAATTCAGCCCGCTTCCTGCAGCCCCATCGCTACCCTCCTCCCAACCTGCTTTTCTTGTGGTGTTCCTCACTCAGCATGGCTAACAGATCCACCACCCAGTCGAGTTGAGAAGTGCAGTCCCCTCTGCCTGCTGCCTCTCCTGCCATCAGTGAACCTGCTTAACTCATCTGACTGTGCCTCTCGGTACTTGCTGGGACACGTCTCCAGCCCTTGCTGCTCTCTCCCCCAGACCCACATCCCACACCCGGATGGTGACTGGGCCGACTCTGGATCTTCTGGACCCAGTGTTTCTCCCTGATACAATTCCTTCCTCTGTGTTTTAGGATCCTGATGCTTTGATAAGATGCTCTAATCCCAGCCAGGGACATTTGCAGCAGCCTGGACTGCGGTTCTGCACGCTGGGTGCACTCGGTCTAAGGCACCAACTCCCCATGAGAGTGAAAGAAGGGGTTTGGGGCAGTACAGAGCAAGCTCCTGAGGCCACAGGGCTGACAAAGCCCTCGGCTTTGGGGGCACTTTGTTTCTTCAAAACTAAAATGCAGGCACTGGAGCAAATCATTTGTTCCTAAAACGTTCTGCACGTGATTAAAGAAGCTTTGGGAAGTCAGGTAAATTGGGAAGCACTGGATCAAACAACAATACATAAGTTTATTGTCTGCAGGTCTTCTCAGAGCCTTGAGCAAAGTGAGAAGAGTCATGCTTCTACAAAGAGGAAGGAGGGCGTGAGAGAGTATGCAACCTGCCCCAAACCCATTTAGCCACAGAACCCTTTTCTCACGAGGTACCTCGAGGTTCCATGGAGCATACTTTAGGAAACATGGAGGTAGAGGTCTTCTGTGATCCCTTCCAGCTCTAATAGTCTATGATTCTTTGAGTAATATATACTTTGAGACAGGGTCACCAAAGCAGAAGTGTAGTGGTGAAAACACAGCTCATTGCAGCCTTGACTTCCCAGGCTCAAGTGATCCTCCCACCTCAGTCTCCTGAGTAGCTGGGACCACAGGTGCATGCCACCGTGCCTGGCTGATTGTTAAGAACTTCTGTAGAGACAAGTCTCACTATGCTGCTCAGGTTGGTCTTGAACTGCTTGGCCCAAGTGATCCTCCCACCTTGGCCCCCTCTAAGTGCTGGAATTACAGGCATGAGCCAGCACACCTGACCTTATTTTTTTGTTTTTGTATTTTTCTAGACAGGGTCTCACTCTTGCCCATGCTGGAGTGCAGTGGTGCAATCATAGCTCACTGCAGCCTCTTTGACCTCCTGGACTCAAGTGATCCTCCTACCTCAGCCTCCCAAGTTGCTAGGACTACAGGAGTATGCCACCAGGCTCAGCTAATTTTTGTAGAGATGATGTTTCACCACATTGCCCAGGCTGGTTTCAAATTCCTGGGTTCAAGCGATCCACCAACCTCAGTCCCCCAAAGTGCTGGGACTACAGGTGTGAGACACTGTGCCCAGACTGTGTGTGTGTGTGTGTGTGTGTGTGTGTGTTATTAAAAACTAAGCAGGTGGCCGGAGCGGTGACTCCACACTGTAATCCTAGCATTTTGGGGAGCTGAGGTGGGGGATCATGAGTCAGGAGACTGAGACCATCCTGGCTAACATGCAAAACCCTGTCTCTACTAAAAATATAAAAAATTAGCTGGTTGTGGTGGCACGCGCCTGTAGTCCCAGCTACGGGAGGCTGAGGAAGGAGAATCACTTGAACCTGGAAGGTGGGGTTGTAATAGCCAAGACTGTGCCACTGCACTCCAGCTGGACGACAGGAGCGGAGACTCCATCTAAAAAAAAACAACAACAACTAAGCAGGGCCATATTGCAGTGGTTTGTGCCCAGAGTCTCAGTGGCTTTGGGAGCCAATGAGAGGACTTGCTTGAGGCCAGGCATTCCAGATCAGCCTGGACAACACAGGGAGGCCCCATCACGTACAAAATAAAAATTAAAAATTAGCTGGAACATGGTGGCAACATCTTGTAAGTCCCAGCTACTACAGGGAGGCTGAGGTGGGAGGATTTGATGAGACCAGGACGGTCGAGGCTTGCAGTGAGCTATAACTGTGCCACTGGGCATTCCAGCTTGGGTGACAGAGTGAGACCCTGTTTCAGAAACAGAACAAAAACAGGCCATGATACTCTCTTTAAAATCTGCCAGTGCCATCCTCCACTGGGTCTGCCAGCCGGGCCCCCTTGGCAGGATGGGGTGGAGGGGCCTGGATATGGTGTTCCCTTGACTGGTGAACAGGTCTGAATGCAGGCCACACCTTCTGCTTCTCCAGGTAACCATCTCTAGACAAGAGGTACTTCATTTTGGCCCTCTGTCACCTTTCAAATCACATTTTTCTTTTTTTTTTTAGACAGTGCCTTGCTCTGTCTCCTAGACTGGAGAGCAATGAGTGCAATCTCCACTCACTGCAGCCTTCGGGCCTCCACGTTCTAAGTGATTCTGCCTCTTGCACCCTCAGGGGCCTCCCCCCAGTAGCTGGCGAATTACAGAGCGCATGGCCCACCGACGCCCCTGGGCTAAATTTTGTATTTCTCTTGTTGTTGTTTGTATACATTTTTTTCTAGTAGAGATGGGGTTTGCACGCATGTGCGCCAGGCTGTGTCTTGAGCTCACTGGATTCTCAGAGTGAATCTTGGCCGTTAACAACCTGCACTATGTTCCTCCCAAAGTGCCGTGGAATTACAGCGTGTAGCTTCACCTATGTCCCAGCTCCAAACTGCATTCCTTATTTTTTCGCTCTTCTATTATTTTTTCTTTTTCAAACTGGTAATTTTTCTTCGGCAGACATGAATCTCTCTGCCTTTGTGTGCTGGGCGACACCTCTACTTACCAGCATCTCCACCTAAATTTGAGCTGCTGGAATGGTGTTGAGTTCCGGCTTATACAGATAGAGGGAATTGGTGTCTCACCTACGAGGGTTGTGATGTGCCCTTGCCTCCTTCGCGCTTTGGCGCGCCGCCGCCCCGCAAGCCTGGATGGATCAGGGCTGGCTGTTTTTTTTCTTTTCTTGTTCTTTCCTTTTTTTTTTTTTTTTTTTTTTTGAGGATGGAGCCCAGCACGGTTGCCACAGGCTGGACAGTTCCAGTGGCGTTACCCCAATCGCCGCCACTGCACTGCGCAAACTCACCTCCTGCGGTTCAACTGATTTTCTCGTCTTACCTCAGGGGGCTCCCGAGTAGCTGCGAGACTACTGGCAGTGTGTCCACCCGGATGCCGCAGCCTAAATTTTTCGGTATTTGCTAGTAGAGACTGGTGGGTCGCTGGTTCGTCAACCACTACTTGCCGCAGGCGAGGTCATCGAAACTCCGTGCCTTTTGATCCCAACGCCTGCGTCGGCGGGGCGCGCCGCGCGCTGCCCAAAGCTGCTGCGAAGTGCCAGTGAACGAGAGTGAGCCACCCGCGACGCCCCCCAGCAGCCGTTGAGGGTGTTTGCTAAGCCCTGGGAATGTGAGGTGCACCCAGCGGCCCAGCAATGCAGAAGGCGTGCTGGCGCCCCAAATATGTGTGTGTGTGAAAGGTCAAGAGTTATAATGTACATTCCGCAAATGCGCATCGCTCTCCGAACAGTCCTTGGAGGAGGATTCTGTGTGGACTGGCTGTGGTGTACTTCGATCTTTGCTAGCATTTGTGTGGAGTTAAAAGACGGAAAAGCTATCGCTTTCACTAAGGGGGGATGGGTGGTAACTTACACCTGTAATCGGCAGGCAGCGTATTGGGAGCGCTGAGGATGCAGCCGGCTCGGACAGGTGGCTTGAGCACAGATTGAATATCAGTCTGGGCAACAGAGTGGGACCCTTCCTATCTTATACAAAAATACAAAATAGTGGGACATGGGTTGTGGTGCTTGTAGTCCCAGTCACTCAGTTGGGGCTGAGTGGTGGGAATGCACCTAAGCCTCAGCGGAGGGCCTGAGGCTGGCAGTGAGCTGCTGATCGTACCACCTGCTGCTTTCAGTCTGGGTTGATAGGAGGCGGATGCTGTCTCAAAAACAAACAGAAAACCCAAACCTGCTCTTTCCTATGGCGGAACAGAGTGTTGTTGTGAAGTAAATATTGGGTCATCAAGAGAGAGAGCCGAGCACCTACTAATGGCATGTAAACAACCTGTCATAACCTCTATACAGCCTCTCTCCCACAATGACTCCGCTTCTGCCATCAGCTATGGGTATTGCTGTATTTAAGCAGCTCACTGGTTTCTTTCCTCCGAAGCATAATATAGCTCGCGGCGCCCGGTGCGCTCGACAGCCTGTGCAGAATCCGCAGCACTCTTCGCCGGCAGGCCCCGAGGTGGGGTGGATCCACGCGCCCTACGGGCTCGCGGGGTAGACAGATCGGAGCACTCGTATCTGCGCTAACACGGCGTGAACCCAGTGATCTCTACTAAAAATACCAAGAATACAAATAATACTAAAAATACGCAAAAAACTAGACTGGGGCGGTTCGCGGTAGGGGGGTGGCCTGCTGGAGTTCCCAGCCCTACTTGGGAAGGCAGATGCAGCCGGAGAATGGCGTCTCAACACCCCCCAAGGAGGCCAGAGGCTCTGCCAGTGAGCGAGATCCGGCTACTGCACTCTAAGCCTTTGAGGCCGACAGACCCGACAGACTCCCGACCCAACAAAAAGTCAGAAGTGATACTGGATACATTGTTTAGGCAAGGGATTGTTTGGCTATAAGACCAATATTTTAAAATTTAACCATAATTCTATCATACTAATGACAATTAAAATAAAAAAAATATTTTTTTTTTGAGAACAGAGTCTCACTCTGTCAACCCAGGCTGGCGGAGGGCTGTAGCTGGCGTGTTCTTGGCCCTCACTGAACCCTTTGTCTCTCACCGGTTGAGAGCAATTCTCGTGCCTCAGCCTCCCAAGTAGCTGGGACTGCAGGCGTGCACAACCACGCCTGGCTAATTTTTGTATTTTTAGTAGAGACGGAGTTTTGCCGTGGTGGCCAGGCTGGTCTCGAACTCCTGGCCTCAAGTGATCCACCCACCTCAACCTCCCATAGTGCTGGGTTTACAGGCATGAGCCATCAGGCCTGGCCTAAAAATAAAATGTAAATAGAATGAGGCTGGACACAGTGGCGCGTACCTGTAGTCTCAGCTAATTGGGAGGCTGAGGCAAGAGGATGGCTTGAGCCTGGGAATTGAAGGCAACAGTAAGCTGTGATCACGCCACTGTACTTCAGCCTGGCCAACAGAGGGAGACCGTCAAAAAAACTAAAAAAAAGAAAGAAAAAAGAAAAGTTAAAAATGGAAGAACAAATGAAAAGAAAGATGTACAGAACCTCTGCACAGAAATCTGTGAAACATGACAGAATATCACAATGGAGGGAGACGGCAAGCTCATGGATTAGGACGCTGGCTGACAGGAAACGGCACGGCACTGACGTTGTGCTTTGTGTTTTTGTTCCACCAACACTAGCCTGAGGAAGGTAGATGCCCCGCTTCTGTGAAGAGGCAGCAGGTGGGGTGTGCAGCTCTGGAACCCAGTCCTGGATACCCTGTGAGCCCACTGAGACTGGCGTGGCCTCCTCATTGGGAACATGGCTGGTTGTGACCAACAGTGAG